GGAGAAATTTTTTAATGTGTAAGAATCTGTCGCAAATTGAAGTGTTTCATAACAGGGACATTCTAACGAAATTTCAGAGCAGGAGAGTGATTCATGTTGAAATGGGAGCATTTTGAAAACATTGTTTCACACGTGACCGAACTAGAACTGGAGAACTCAAACATTGTGTGTGACAAGTTTTTAGCAGAGATCAGTGAAGTGTATCAATGCCAGCAATCAGCATGCTTATGTGTGCAATTTTTTGGTGGTAACGGTTTGCATGGTTACATTGAGAAAGTGTGCAAGAATTAATGTTTGGAAGTTGACTGTGTTTTAGCTTAGCATAAACTAAACCAAGTTATGAAATCCACAATTATTCTCAGACAACAATGGATATAAACTGCACTGGTATGTATGCACAAACAGACTCAGACTTCATGTACATGTATGGTCTCACACTGCTCTTTTCATTTTAATTTTGCATTAAACACAGGTACATGTACATGTTTGTATTGACAACAAAACACTGACTCCTAAAAATGCTCATTTACATGCCATTTGCAAAACACACTTAACGCTGCCTTTTGAAATACTAAACACAGTCTTGGTGGCCATATGTACCAAGTGAATCCGCAAAAGAAAGGGGAAAAAATCTCAAGATTTGAGTATGTACATGTACATGTACAACTTCTCTTAAAACAAATCAAGCTATATCCACAAAATATATTACATGTACATGTAGTTACAGTGCTAGAACATGTATTATCTGTGATGCTTACATGTACATAGCTATGGCTCCATGAAAACAATTCATCAGTTAAGCCATCTAATAAAAGCTGGCTGAAAAATTATCATGTTCATCATTGGAGAAGTGCAATCAAACAGGACAAATAACTGAACTGACAACACGGACACACGGTTAATCAGTCGCAATCTCAAAAGGCAATTTTTTTTTTCAATTTTGCAAAGAAAAGTAAACAGCCACTCATGTTGTCTGAGAATGTTTCCTGGTCTTACCACTGATCTTTTCAGGCTTTTTTCTGATCCTGGAAAAACAAATTCTGAACAACTTGTAAGGTGCTTAGAGCATTTGAGAGGATTCCAGGCAGACATTCATAAGCCGGCTTTTGAAATTCTTAAAATAAAACAAATACTGTACAATCAGACTTTGTTTTTGTGCTGTGTTCCCTAGATATTAAAAGCCGCTCCTCCTTTTGAACTCACACGTTAACAGCATTAAGAGTGAACTGAATATGGCACGGAGAGTGCAATTTTCAAACACACGACAGCCCAGTGAATAAACGGTGTTTCCACCTGCACAACATCCTCTGACAATCAAACGTGACAACAAATTTTCTCATGCCTCCATTCCATTACGTAGCGGGGACATACATATACGTATATACACCTGTGCAAGTGTTGTTGCACATTGTGTATACCTGTACTTCTTAAAACAAAACTCTGTGAACAGTCACGGGTACAGCACAAGCGCTGTTCACACTGTACATGTACAAGAGGGCAATACCCCACGATGTATTACTATGCTCAAGAATTTGAAGTTGTCTAAGCTCCATGAGGATGTGTAAGAACATGCATGACCTGTTATGGAACATGCATAAGTGTACAAGTAAATGTATGTATGTATGTAAACTGTACATAGACATACATGTACATGCACATGTACAGTGTCAATACATGTGTGTGTCTAATCAAGTCTCTGATCAAATCTGAAAGATGAAATTTGGGTCTTCAATGGATCTACTGCAGGGAAATTTAGTTTTTTCAAGTTTATTGTACAGAGTATCACTTTTTTCAAAATTGAGATTTGGTATTGTTTCTTTACAGATTGCCATGCCATATGCACATGTATCTAAACATGTAGCCCATCCTATTCCCTACTACATTCAGAATTGCTTGTGAATATAGCATACATGTACGTGTACGCTTTAATGGAAAAAGTTGGAACAATTTGAAGGATGCAGTTATGCATGTACACTGTAACTGCATACACACTGCTAGATTTTCAAACTGTTCTCGTCCACAGTTGTGAATTCCTTACTCTTGCTATCAGTCAAACAATGTCTTCAATGTCTGTGTGTTGTAGGCTACATGTACATATATGTACCTGTAATTATGGTACAATTTTGTATCAATACATTTCACCAAACCAGATGACCAGAAACGTACAAGTTTTTGCCTGAAGCAAATGAGTAAGTCCTCAATATGTGTGTCGTGACTTCCCTGTGCCAAACTGTTGATGACAAGTCACGGTCCGCAGGAGCGAAGCCAATCCAATAAACTGCAAGACCTTGAATCTCGTTTGCACTGTCCGCCGCCGCATCTTCCCCAAGGTACCAGCAGCTCGACCTGTACAACAAGCGAGGGCGCTGGTCATCCTAGAAGGTACTTGTATGAAGGTAACTCTGGCATTTCTGATCCAGTATTAATGAATTGAAGGACAAAGAATGTGCCTTTACTTTCATCAAAGTGCAAGCGGACAAGCAAAACCGTACCCGAGTCCATTCCACATATGGCGCTTCAAAGTTTGTTAAGGCTAGCACAAATGGCAAATGAAACAGAAGCCTTCTAGGCAAGCTACAACCACACATGTACTTGTTTCCTGTTTGTTGTGATGAAAGTGTTAAAAACTTTTAACTGAAAACATTCATATCGGGTTCACTTCCAAAGCAGACTGGAATGCTGGGTTCAAAATGAAAACGAGTGTATACGGAGGAGATATTTTATCCAGACACCCGCTTTTAATTGCTTCTCGGTGACATCAGATTGCACCCATCAAAAACAAACTCACCTTGTGTTCACAATTGCTACAAATTCTGAAAAGTGTATGATTCATATACATTTTAAAGAACCAGTACACGTAGGTACATGTAAATTGTGCACACATGGTATTTAATCGTCATTCTAGTATAGGAATACTACATGTACATGTATGTATTTATATGTGAAGTTTAGGTGCTCCCCACTGCCAAATGAAGAAAAGTTTCTGTATTTCATCATGCCAACACAATTATGATCAATCTGTTCCTCCCAAAAAAAGAGTTTCCTTGTCATGAAAGAAACCTCAAGGATCCTGGCTCCCTGAACAGGGAAAGAAACCCCCAGTGAAAAATTTCTTCCTTGCGGACGCAATGCAGCACCAGGGTTTGGTAATGGTCCTTGACCATCAAACACAAGTAATGATGATGAAGCAAATAAACAGAACGACTAAATAGCCATCTGAAGTACATCGGCTCTATGTAATCAGCCAAGTATACAAGTACACTGCCACATTATCTTCATGCCCTCTATATTATTGACACAGGTGGGGGGAACCTTCAAATTGAGCAGTACAGTGTACATTAAGTCTAATTCTATACAATCCTAAAGTACCCTGTATGGTGAAGTTGTAAATGGTCAAGGACAAGCAATGTCCAGCTGCTTGTACATGTACATGTACTTGGCCTTGAGGATTTTACAGGACTGCGACAGAAACAGATCTAGACCTGTCAGACCTTCATGAACATGCACTAGTACACTGAGAATAAACTGCTGACCTGAACAAAACCTTTCCAACGGTTATAGCATCTCCTTTCCACTCTTAAACATTTCAGTGATGAATTACCTACATTCTTCAACGTATGCATGTGCATAAGAATATGTGTGTATTACTGGTTCATTGATTGCACGTCTGAAGAGTGAAGAGTGTGAAATTAAAAAATAATTTCGTCCCATTGCAAAAATACGGGTAGGCTACGCTCCACGTATTTGATCAGGAGAGTTACATGTACCAGGTACGAGGCTTTCTTTCTAATACAACTACAGATGTCAATTTCACAACTGGCCACAATCATTTGTCCTGATGAAGGTCTAGTCTACTCCCCCCAAAAAAATCATTGGCAAAACAATGGTCATAGTCCATGTAAATGCATTATACAAAACTTAGTGTAGATGTCAGCATTCACAGTTCACCTTGATCATTGCTTAAAAAACCATGATGGAGAGTTTTGTGTTTGAAGTGGGGTCATTAGGAGACTTTTCAGGAAACTGCAGATGTGGTTTACATGTACCGGTGCTCATACATTGTAAGTCACATACAGAAGAAGGAACTGGCAGTGAAACACACCTCAGCATACATGTATATGGCAGATGAAGACACATTCATGTACATGTAAGGAACTGACTGCATTAAAGTTCTGCCCACCCAGGAATCACTAAGTCCACAAAGTCTCCTGATGTAGAGCCCAGCTCATCTGCATGTACCAAAAGCGAGGGATGCACGCCTGTGTTGGCTTATTTGTTTCAAGATACAGGTACATGTACATGTACATGCACATTTAGTAAGTTCCACTAATTACATGCATTAAACATGTATGCAGGTTTGTTACATTGTGAAGATTTGATCCCAGAACTTAATTCCCATGTACAAATCTCTGGACATTGGACAAATTTCTGAAGGAGATTTTTATCATATTTTGGTCGTAATAAACAGAGGTTGGTAAAGCAACTTAACGTAATTACCAGCTGGTGCGATATGCGATCTGCCATTACACAAGGGTCCTTTGGCAAGACCAGCATCCACAAGTAGCAAGAGGAACAATGACAAAGGAATTATTTTGTCACAAGTCTCTTTACTTGCTTAAGACTTGGATTTCAATGACTATCATACTGTGGTGGACTTGCGGGGACTTGTGATGGTTGGACTTGTCTACAACACTATACACGTTCGTAGGATCACCCCTCGGCCTATTCAGGATGCAGATTTTGTGCTTAATTGTACAGCGAATCATGTCATCCGATGATACGTGTATGTGTTACTCAAACTTACCTGACGTAATGCACCTGGAAGATCGTTCACCCAGTGAAGGCTGCAGTAAGAGAGGAAGATGCAAAAAAATCATGATATACACCAGCATGTGTAATATCCAAACAACACATTATATGTCACTAGAAGTGCTGATATTGGAAAGAAAATATCACAAGTTCCAGATCTGAACCATGTGCCAGTAACCACGGCCACACACCCAGTATATAAGCAGGCAGAGTTATAGCATCACTTAAATGTACATGTACTTCTACATGTACATGTAGTCTGCATCTCATAAAGACTCCTTTGACACTGCAGGGTAACGGGGCCAAGAGTAATAAGAACTGGTGCACGAGGGGGCTACCAACAAGCTCACTACCGTTTATATCAAGCAAGAAGCTGACGTACATGTACATGTAGGCCTTGTGTACTTAGATACTGTCATGGAAAGTTTACAGAGCCTTGCTTTGCTGGCCCGCAGTTGGTAATTAGCTGCTGGCATCCAGCGGAGTGGCCTGATACCTCGCGCCAAAAATTGGCATCTATTTGGGGGGCAGCTTTAGTTCCAGTAGGCTACTCATGGGAATTTAGGGCTTGTCCAGGTCACACATTTGCTTGGTGCTACTCATACTTCTTTGCTGGAATCACCTGTTGCAGTTTTGAATGGTGCAGCAAGTTGACCTTTGAGTTATTCTTTGAAATACAATGTAAATAAGAGTTTTGCTTGTTCGGAGTTGGGAATCCCAAGTCTGTGTCCCTTTTCTAGCATTTTGCAGAAAGTGGAGGACACCTAATGGTAGAACCCCATTAGCTGGTTCATGCTACAATACTGTGCTTCTAGAGGCTGTGGTGTACAGTGCACATGTAGCTGAGTCCACCATGAAGATTTGGTTCAATTTGTGGCATTTAGGGAAAGTACCATGTTTACTGTTTTTCAAAGAGTGTACCTGTACTGTTACATGTACATATATGAGTGTGCGAAGGCGTTCATTATCATGCAGGCACTTACATTAATCCTGGGGAGATCATGAAGGTAAAAGCCCAGATACGGTATGTTTTGATGGAGCCATGGTTGACTTGTGCATTTAAATGACTTTACCTTGACCATACATGTATAACAGCAGCTAAATATGTGTATGCCCTTTGGATGAACATTAAACTGCACATGTGTAATGGCAAAAGGGGTACATTAAGTTCAGTGAATATGGTGAATGGCTTTCCCCCAGGTATATTTAGATGCCTGCAAAGGGCTCCATTTTTACACTCTCTGAATGTATCCCCTACTGAATTTGGCTGATGCCATCAGTCATGTCATTAAAAAAGTGCAGTAGCACTCCTCCAGCAGCATTTCATTCCACTTGTCCACACATCCCACTGGAATTCCGCAGCTCCCACGCGCAGGCAGAATCATGTTTAAATGGCTAAAAATTGTAGGGCTCTCTCCTGAGAGATGAGCTCATTTCCAGTGGTTAAATGAAATGAGCTGGGAGACGATACTAGAGTTGGGAGCAAAGTTTAATTCATTGACTCCGTAAACCCTAACCCTTTCCAAATCCCCCGCATTCCACCAGGAAGTTTTGGTGGATTTTATAGGATTTGGGAAGGCATACCCCAGCTACAACGTAAGATTCAGCATGATGCCCGAGGAAAAGAACTTGCAAGAAATGTACAGGACGACTCCACAAAAATGCAATCAAATAGTAACATTTCTCCCAAATTAACTACAAGAAATTGTTGTTTTGGCTATCAAATTCAAGCTTATAGGATGTAACGTATCTTTTAAGACTTCATTTAAATCCAATGATGTGTTGTGGAGATAATCTTGATTATGTAAGACAAGTACTTTTTTGTTCTGTCGAACGGGATTTACCTCAACAATCAAAATGCGATACTTATGCCTTTTAATGCTCTTTTTTAAGACATGAGATTGTTGGAAGGCCTCCAGGATGAGGATACTGAATTGAATAGCATGCTCTTACGTTATGTTAAAACTTGTCATTGTGGGAAAAAATCTGAAGTGGTTATTTTTCAACTTTCAAATTCGATTTATAAATTAATAGGATAGCAGCTACATGTACATTTTACACAGGTACACATACAAAAAAGTAAAAGAACTTGAAAAAGGGTTCAATACAACCAACTGCAATACGAGAGTGAATTTCACTTTGTCTTTCACTTTTCACTGAAAAGTTCTTGCACAAACCTGTGACATTATATACGTTCATTTGTGCATAATGCAAAAAAGGAACGCTCTACATTATACCAAGCCTACACTGTAAAAGGACAGAAAACAAAAGTTCTGCAAATTAATCCAGGGAAGTACTTCATTTAAAGTACAACGACCATCAACTGGCCCAATTTGTAATCAACGTCATCCTGTCTCTGAACTGAGAAAATGCAATGGCCAAACAACCCGCAGTAAAATTTGAAAAAAAATCATCTAAACCCTTGCGTGTTATCTATATGTAAGCAACGACCTATTTAACCCACACACTACACAATTCCCATTTAATTGCCCGACTAATGATGTATGCACTTCAACATGATGGCACAAACACACCCGCACGCTACGTATTGACCCAACACACCAGACTTGTCAAATTGTTGGTCTCTACACGCAATCTCTGACCTACTTGCCATGAATTGATCTCCACTGTCTGAAATTACACACGTTCCAAGACGCCCAATTCACATTGATTCTGCGAGCCCACCAAGAACCGAGATATTTGCTCTGGCGATATTACACTGCACATTAAGCTATCACCGATACCAGAGCGTGCAATGCCAACTTAGCGGATAATTATACACGGAATCAGACTGCTCTCAGGTTGCATCTCTCATGTCTTCAAGGCTTGCATGAATAACTGAAAGAAGAAAAAATCTACAATAAATTGTAAAAAATCCAAGACTTGGAGGAGTAAGCCCCCACCATAACTACAAATATGCATGGATTACAGGTACAAGTATATTATCTCCCCTCAAGGGTGCATGACAAAAACTAATGCCTTCCATTATACAAGCAGTAATGGAACGAGTATGATGCATGCTGCAACACGACTGTCCTGCATGTACCAACACCCTGGAAAGACAAACACATAACAAAATCTTAATTTATAAGGGGCCCTTAATTTTTAGAGGGGTACATGCAATATGCAGTCGATCACAACCAGGATATGGAATCCAGAAAGAAATCTCACAGCTGATTAAGGGAGACACGCTTTCGACTCTGTGACAATGAGACCGAGTTCAACAAAGCGTGTCGTCAGGGTTGTGATTCACCTTTGATAAAAATCATATCTTCCCTTTTGTTTTCCTGTGAGTACTGGGAATAAAACATTGTACAGCTGGGATCCTTTGGCATTTGATTTAGCCCCAAATTTTTAGGGTGTGAGGGTTACAAGTGGCAAGATAAAACCATGTACATGTACCTGTATTTACTTCGATATCTAGTGAATTTCCTACTCGTGGCTGATTGAATTCTCACAGTACACACATGCATACATGTACATGTATTTTAATGTTCTTGATTGCACGATACCTCATATACAGTGTAGTTCGTTTTCTCAGAATATTTTCCAAAAATCACCATCCCACTGAGTAATTGATTCAATAAAATTTTTGAATTACTTGGTTTTGCAATTGCTAATACTCTGTTCTCTTTTCACAATTTATAAATTATATATTTTCCTTAATGACAAATCCCATTTAAATGATTAATGACGTGCCATGCAAGCAATTCAGACCTAATCCATAGCCATGCTTGAAGTCAGGCATCATGGACACCTGAATATACCTGGAAGTGAATTTCTATAGCTCCTTTTTTTCCTCTGGTGACCTTTCCATCACAAATCAACTTCCTAAAGCGAACTCTAAATCAAAATGCAGCTGCTCATTCTGTTCCTCATTCATTTTCTCACTTCATTGTACACGAATTCACATGGTTCTTCAATTATACATGTACTCTACCGTTATACTGTCTCTTAACACAATACAAAGTTATCATACACCGATCATTTATGGGGCACACATAGTATTTGTTTGGAGTAAGCGTCCCTTACAGCCACGTATGGACTGACAAGTCTGACTCACTTTAGCAAAGAGAGCAATCAAAACAATCCCCTACTTCATAACTGTCTAAGCCAAGCACCAGATGGCAGAGATAGGATAATACCCTCCAACCATGCTCCAACCAAAACTGACTTTCAGAGCTTCAACCTGCAGGGGGGGGGTACAAGCGAATAAACTCCGTTGCCTTCTATCAAACACTCCCGATAAATATCTGGATGAGATAAGGAGGGACTTGGGAGAGAATGTAGAGGGAAACTGGCCACAGGAACTGAAGTTAATTGGGAGAGGATGAGGCATAGGGAAAAAAAATGATGCGGGCAACGGATGTTGGACAAAATGAGTTTTTCTTTTCCTCTTCTGAGGTCAACATGGATTGTGACAAAAAACAGGTGCTATGAAGGATAACATACATCGAGTAAAATTCAGTGGCCTGTCTGCAAATTCAAACAATATGCACCTGTGAAAATGTTATCACATACTGAATAATTTACAGATACATGTATGAGCAAGCAACTGTCACTCATCTGATAGTTGTCACTTTGGGAATGATGGGTTTTAAATACCATCGCAAAAGTGCAGCATACAGGTCAAAGCACCCGTTGTGATATGTTACATTACAGGATTACCCTAGGGAGAGGAGATCTCTGATAAGATACATGTTAACAGTGTGTCATCAAGACTTCAGCACCCCCAACTGTCTGAAACCACATGAGCATGTAGATGTGGTATGCATGGGTATACCTGTACCAGTATTGTATATGTGTGAGAGTACTGCAAAATTCTTTGTGTGTTCCCAATTTCACATACATGTACATGTACTAGAACACTATACACTGTGGGTGTATTGGGTATCTAATGGACACCGTTGGGGAGTGATTGCCGATGCACCAACCAGCGGGGGGGGGAGGAGATTTATTAACCCTAACCCCCTAAGGGGTATGTTATGGACATGTACAAAGTAGAATCATATATTGAAATTGGAGGACTGAGGAC